TCTCGTGAAGCCGTCTCAAAGCTTACCGCACGAAGCCTTCCATGTTGCGACAAAATTCACATTTTGTTTGATTGATTTCAAAGCCTTCTTATGACTTTAATATAATTTATCAAAATAAAATTGTATCCAGAAAGTAGCCAACTACCAGCGAAACTTCCTTGAAAAGGGGCGAAGTACAAGATCCATCTAAAATAAAATGTTGGGTAAATATTATTATTCCATTGGGAAAACAAATTTACGGACAAACGTGTTATTACGCGGATGCGAAGCAATCCGCGTTAGAAATTGGGTCGTTTTTATTTTTATTTTTATTATTATTATTATCATTTTTTTTTTCTTCGTGGTAGTCGCAAATTGTACCGCAAGTTGTTATTGGCTACAGGTAATTACATTGTAGCCAATGGTAGCTCCTTTTTTTTTTTAATCCGGATTCAAGGTTGATTATACTTCACCGTCTGATAATACATCGAGCATGTTTCACCCTCTTATTCGGAGCCTTCAACATCAGTGCTCTATAAATTGAACTATAACTTTTCGGGATAGGTGCTTAATATCTTCGAGGCTCATGCGCGACCCGTATCCTGCACTGCTTTGGCGCGAGATTTAATTTGCTTAGCTGAAAAAGGTCATACGACATAAAACGTGCACGGGTTTTGCAGCACTGTTGCAGCCAGCCCTAGACAGATTTTTTTTTTTCTCGGGTAAGTTTCCAGCAAGCTCCTATGCTTACATTATTTTTAGGTTTAGTTACAAGCCTAACAGATCTAATCTTAGGGCCCATTCTTGTGAACGGATTCACCTTCAAGATTCTGAGAAGGCAAAACTTAGGCGAAACGAGTTCCCGCCTTTTCTAAACTTGACTAACCCTGCTGATAGGTAAAGTTGCAAGTTTCATCAGAAGTTAACTGTTCCCGGTTTTGCTGGCGCCAAAGAAAATTCCGCGCTAGTTTTGGTCTGAAATATGCATACAGTCTGTTAACATATTCAAGGGAAAAAAAAAGATCAGTTATTGAGATAAGATACTTCAATGTCTATGAAACACGCACTGAGACGTAATTTGAGTTGTTATGTAAGTTTGTCAGACACCTAGTGAAAATACGCAGAGAACATATTCCTGAAGAGAAATGGAAAACTGAAAACATGGTCGGGCACGCTTATCAGTGAGAAAAAGAAGTAAGAATCCACACTTTCAATAACTAAAACATTTTGTAGAGGACTTTTAATATTTCAGAATTAAAATTTTGTAATGGTTCATAAACCACATTGGATACTCGTGCAGACCGAAACACTATATTTGAAAAACTGCTTAGCTCGACTGTGAACGAACGATTTTCAAGGCTCATTTTTAGCGTGGCATTTTTATACCACAAGAAGCAGACGAGAGATGCGAGTTCCGCGAAAAAGTGTTTGTAGGTTAATTGCTTTCGAGTTTCTGTCAAACAAACACAAATCTCTGGACCTCAGTAAATCACCATCAAACATGCAGGGCTCTTACAAATGGCAGATATTTACATTGAAACACTTGAATCAGTGACCGCCAGGGAGGAGAGCCTCAGGTCGGAGATGACAGTAATCAGTCGCACTACTTTAGGCTAACATCCATATCGAAATAAGAAAAAACATAACTTTAAAACATTGGCTTAAGTCCAATATTTCAGCGGTTGACAATTCAGTAATGTCCACTGGGAAAAACTATTATATCATGAGATCTAAAGCCAGGTTTCGTGAAATTGCTATACACTTCAGTTTTGAACCAACGGTTGTCTCAAGAGGAATATAAATATGGAAGGTGTGGGAATCCGTGTCGTCTCATAGTGATCAGTAGGTGGTTGAGTGGGGATGAGGGTAGATTGCAGGATTTTGTATATCTTAGGGTCTTCAAGAGAGACCTCTGAGTTAGAACGCTTTCTTTTAGGAGTCAGATAAAGCTGGAGTCATGCCCAGATTGAGTTTAATTTTAAACTTTCAGACAAGCATTCCCGCTCCCTTAATATTCGAGTAACCCCTGAGGGCGAAAAGGATGATACAGAAAATGTACCTTACTGGACATTTGGGTGAACTGTCCTCATTAATTTCAGTGCTGGCACTGGACGTAACCAGTCCTTTAGTTCACTCTGAAAAGTGCAACATATTCCATTAGCAACAGATAACGTGTTCATTTTGGCAAACCTCATGAATCTCCACATTCTTCTGCTTATGTTAATTAGCGTTTACTGTGAACATTTTTCCAGCATGTAATAAATAAAAACTTTGAGAGAAAGAAGAAATGTTGAATAATTTTGTTGGGCAAACTTTCTTTTCTCTTCACATCTATCTACCTACATCACTGAACGCTGCTATAAACATTTTTTCCAGTACATAAATTAAAAAAGCTCAACGAATTTGAAAAATAAACAGTTAAATGAAGCGAAGTAAGACGGGCACAAGCAAAAAGGAAAAAATCTGTATATATATCTGAGCATAATAGAGCAGAAACGGTCCAAACACGTAGGGGCCAAACCACCCCCCAAATGTTTCGTCAGTTCTTGGGTATTTCACATTATTTCGCATT